GATTATATCATGTACTAATCTTGTTGTATGAAATCAGAGCTTTTAAATAAAAAAAAGATTTTTCATTTATCTTATCTCCTCATTGATCTAAGGTGGGGGGAGAAATACTTTTGACGGGTACTGTACACTTAAAGATTCATAAATAATTTTATAAAGTTACTATATTTTATTGATAATACTAATTAAAATTAGATATAATTATTTTATTTATTAAAATGCTAATCAAATTAAACATATGTAAAAAATTTAAATCTTCAGTTAAAATTTATGATAATAAATGACTTCTGTATAATAAAATGGTTGGATTTAATATTAAGTAAATTTATTTATAGATCTATTTTTATTCGTATTAAGAATATCTTTTATATTCATAGTAAAGTTCAGTTATCTGGAAATTCTCAAATAATAATATGTATACAAAACGTTCACTAATTGAAAAGTCCAGTTATTCTTTGAATCGTGAACTTCGGATAACTTAATTTACTGTGTATAAAATTTTTGATCTTCAGACAATTAGAACAATAAATTTCTGATAATATATTTTGAAAATTTGGAATGATCAATATTGGTTGATGTATTGTAATTCTTCGAAGAGAATCTTTGACAATAAATAAGATTTGATTTTGTGCTACCATATCTAAAATCATCCAGAAACTAAATTGTACGTTTCCTAATTAGACATTCAAGAAGGTATACTATTGCAGGATGAGAATCGCATTGTAGAAATACGAAGAAATAACTCTGTTTTGCACTGCAGTATTGATTTTGAAGCACAACGTTGAAAATTAAATCCAACTAGAGTTTTTTGTTCCCTTCTTATTAGCTATATTATTATTGGTGATTGAATTGAAAGAAGCGAAGATGAGGAGGGAAATTGAAATTGGACGATGTTTTATCGTGGGTTTGCGTCTGAAGAAGAGGGAGGTTCCGTTATTCTACTATGAATTAGGATTCTTGTTCGAGAATAATTCAAATTGGAATAGTTGAAGTTGCATGTTTTGCAAGTAACTTATCAAGAGCTAGATGTAACTTTAGAGTAAAAATTATGGATTTTTGCAAAATTGTTTTTGGAAGTTATTTGTTGTAATATGTAATTTATTATCATTTGAAATCTGTTCTATAATCAATATTGCTGGCAACGAGGTGTTGTATACAGCCAGACCCCTCTATAGTCACACCATCAGGATACGAAAAACCGTGAGGAGATCAATTTTCTTATGTTTTATAATTGCTTGGGAAATGAAAAAATGTGACGATATTAATTTGTGACTATATAGGAGGTGACTATAGAGGGTCTGACTTGTCATACCTTTTTATTATCAAAAACCTAATAAAATCAACATTTATTGCAGAACAATTTTTGCTTGAATTTTTATATTGCATGTTGTTATTAACTTTAGCCTTCGAGTTATCAACCCTCTTATATATTAACAAAAATGTCTGGTCTCATCGTGTTAATAACAGAGAGGGATGACTGTATCTATATATCTATATCTATCTTTATGTTTAAACACGTGTCGCGCGATAAAAAAACAGCGATTTCTCACTAATTGAACGGACCACTCCAGCTTATCGAGAGTCACTATGTATTATAACAACTGACAAGATAAATTCAAAAAAAATGATATCAGTCGCAATGTAATAAATCAAAAAAATTGCTTGATCAATGTTTTATATAATCCGTCATATCTTTTTAACTTAAAGATTTCATTATTTTTGAGTTAGTATACAAAGTGTAACAAAAATATTCCCGGCTATTTCATTATCATCCAGAATTTTCGAATATTTACGTTTTATATCGAGGGCTCGATACATATACCCAAATAAAGTCGAAACGCTAAATAAATAAAAAGATGTGCATAATGATGTTTTGTTTATACATGTAATTAAAAGAGGGAAATTATTACTAAAAAAGTCATGTTTTTGTTTTGTGACGTAACATGTAAATTTTTTTCGCGAAAGACCGTTAACGTTAATCCTTTTCTCGTTAATACTATACTTGGTATGCATTACTTTTTGAGAGTTACAATAACAGCTACGATATAAACATAGATGACAAATGCTTTGATTTGCGCGTGTGTCCTGAAAAACTTGTAACTTGCACAAATATAAGAAGAGATCCAAGTAATTATTAGAGTCGGAAATTAATGATAAACCCGACAAACGTAATTTACAACTTCGTCAATTATGGTTAACACAATTTTTGAAAATGAAACATGCCCTATTGTTTTTTTTATTATGCTAAATCGAGTCGTAATACGCGATTCCATGTGCAACATACTTTTTAAAGTTTCGCGCACACGCCATATTGATCATAATCGCATATTCCGTCAAAAACCTTTCATATTAATTACACGTGGCACACATGGCACCCAATCTATCACATACGTGCCGAGATGTACATAGTGAAACCTAATTTGTCAATATAAAGAAAAAAAGAATAGAAGATATAGAATAATATCCCGTTATTATATTGAGCAGAAGGTTGATTAGATCTGGAAAACATGCACGCAATAAATCTCGGGGATTTTTTTTCATAAACTAAAACTAAATTACTCTGATTCGGAATTTCTGACTTTCTTACTTTTCTTGTATCTATTACATAGTGTTATTAGCTATCCGACATAATACAAAATATTTTCTATGATAAAGCAAAATCTCGGTGTTGTTATACCATAGTAACTAAAAATTCAATTTGCATTAGTGATAGGCCTTTGCCTCGTCCTCGTTGAAAATTAAATAAATCAAAAATAAAAATTAATATCCGAAAATTGAAACACGGGAATAAAAAATAAAAAAAGATTTATTTACCGTTTACTTTTTATTATTTTTCTCGGCATTTTCATTTTATTTCGCGAACTCAGTGATCGAGTCTTCATGATGTGGTATATATAAAAAAACTAGCTGCTTTACTAGATATGAAGTGTCCACCGAAATGTAAGTCGGCAGGCACAGCAATAGCGATAGCAACAATAATTAATTAATTAACTTGCACAAATTACTCAGACACAAAGGGATACAAATCAAATAAAATCAAACCAGTTTTTCTAGAAAGAATGTGCGAATATTGTTGGATTTATCTATAAGAGAAAAAAAGATTGCTGCACCAAATTTTATTTTAACCGACATTTTTACAGTTCGCATTTAATATTGCATCTTTTTAAAGGCGAATATTGTTAGATTTTTTTGTGAGAAAATACGAAATGCAATCTTTGAATTAAAATTTAATTACCTAATACTAATATTCATTGTAATAAACATTTTAATGATAAGCAGAAATATTTGTGGCTTCAAATAAACAGCCCAACTCCGAAAATTTACACAATATTATTATTCTTTTCCTCTTAACCACAAAATATCAATAGCGCACAAACGCACATCAATATAACGGTGGATGCAAAGAAGATAGGTCGAATCTTTTGGGAATTTGAACTAGTGCTAGATTGATTGCATGCATGCATGCATGTATGCGTATAATATATACAATATACGTAGTATTTGAAATCATATCTTTATTTTTTGCATGCTCGAATATTTTCTTATCAAGTTTTTTTCTAAAGCATCCAAATTAATACCGCTACTAACTATTTATATCAAAATAACACAAAATTTTTACATGCATATAAAATTGTAATAAAGTTCTTTATTATTATGAATGAATGAGTGAATGAATTTCATCATCATCGTTATATAAATATTGATTAGCTGCATCAATTAATATACGATACGTGGTAAATAAAAAATATGTTGTTTGTTGTTGTCAGATTTACATGGATTTTTTAAAGAAATTAATAAAATTTAAAACTTTTTATGAAACATCAATTCAGCTCAGGTGATAAGTTACGCATAATTTCACATACACAAACGTATATAATATAGTTCACACAACACGTAGAGAAAAAAAAAGCGTTAATTCTCTGGCTCTAGTTCTTTCCGAGAATAATTAAATAATTTATTAAAATTACCATAATAAATAAAATCATACAAAAAAAGACGACTGACCATACTACTTTTCATTAGGGCTATTATTTTTATTTGGCTTGTCTTTTTAATTTCGAGCGTGCTTTGCTGTGCAGCGTTTTTTCTGTTCACTTATTTTCTGTTTTCTTTCTTTATTAAAGCGGTTCTTGCATTTCACAATCGATTTAACATAATTTAGTGTTAGTGTTGCTAGTTTAATAAAATAGTTCTTGTCCTCCTGTTTCTTTAATTTTCATAAACTTTGTGCAATACAACCTCTAGTTGAGGATTTCCCTTCCTTAACTATTCCTTTTTAATATTTTTTTTTCCTCTTGTCCTCCTTTTTTTTTTTAAATAATTCTTTTCACAATATTTGATAAATTGAAAATTTCAAAAATATCAATAGAAACAGCAAACAACAAGAAGCAACTAGTCTTAAACCTTATATTAAGACACTATACTTTGGTGACAATAACAAGACTAATATTAATATTAATACTAATACTAATCTAAGAATAATAATAATAATAATAATAATAATAATAAAATGTCTTTATTTGACAGCACCGATTCGTTAACAGCAAGTACCACAAATTCTCAAAATTCTTCGCCCCGAGACCAAAATTTAGAATATATGACGAATCGTGAGTCTAATAACATTGACCATAATGAATTTTCATCAATGTCTACGACATCAAATAATTCTAACGGGGATCCAGTCGAAGAAGACGATAATGATTTATCATCATCTAGACAGCAAAAACGTCGCGGCAGAAAGCCAAAATATCCAGACCCAACGCCTGGTTATAGGTCTAGTTATAGTGTTAATAGAAGTTTCACTCAAACTGAAGTGGTACTTTTAAAGCATATTCTAAAAGACTCTGGTGAGCCACCAGCTGACTTGTTTGCCACGCGTGTTTGGCCACCGTCTCCGACCGAGTCAACGCCAAATAATTATCATCATCATCATCATCACCATCATCATCACCAACACTCTTTGAATAATAATAATAGTAATAATAATAATAATAGTAATAATAATAATAATAATAATAATAATAATAATAATAATAATAATAATAATACTAATAATAATAATAATATAATTGGCAACAATAATCATAATCATAACAACAACGCTGTAGCATGTACGAATAATAGCAGCAACAATAATAATGAGCAAGAACAGCGACTACAACATAATCCAGACATGGATATGAAAATTATCGAACAAACTACTGATGCTACAATGGTTTTCCCTGTGGATGAAGAGAATTCAAAGAATCAAGAATTATTATCACATGCCAGAAGAAAAAGATCTCGTAATGTGACTTCTCCTTATCAATCAAGAGTTTTACGTAAAGTATTGGCTGTTACATCATTTCCTTCAACTGAAATGCGTGAAGCTCTTGCGAATGCTTTAAATATGCATCCACGTACTGTTCAAATTTGGTTTCAAAATCAACGTCAAAAAGCAAAGAACAATCCTCAAACGCCAACAACTAGTGTTAATACAGTATCTACACCAACTATGGCGACTTCATCATCAATGAGTCATGGAGGTGGAGGAGGAATGACTTCACTTAATGGTTATAGTCCTGAATTAATGCCAATGTCGATACCAACCGTTGGTACAAGTGCGATTTATTATAATTTAACAATGTTTCCAAGTAATAACGTTGTTCAAGGAGCTATCGGTTCTCAAACAATTCTTACTCCTCCGATTTCAGAAGATCCTCGTCAACCTACAATTAATAATAATAACAATCACAATCACAATCATAATAATAATGGAACTAGCAATGGGAATATGAACAATAACAACAATGATAACACACCATCTGAAAAAGAACACCATCCACATTCACATTTACAACAGCATGGGCAATTACAATTGTCTACGCAAAGTTATTTGCCAGTCGCTACAGCTTACATGAGTGCTGCACAATTTGCAACAACTGTTGGATCTCCTTACACAATTTTACCCATGTTTCAATCTTCCACCCCATCATCACCAACACCAGCTCATTTACAAGCCACGTTTCATCATCCTCAATTTTTTCATCAAACATCATCATCACCCACCACTCCAACAACAGCACACCAATATCCAAGTTATTTTCCTACCACCACGGCAACTACAACTACCACCACATATCATCATCCACCACTACCACCACCACCGCCACCACCACCCCATCCTCCTTCCCAACTAAATTCACAGCAACAATCTCAAGCTCAACAAATTCATCATCAAAATCATCAACAAAATAATTATAATGATTCAAATAACAATAGTAATAATAATAATTCTTCATCAATTCAATTTGTCACGAATCCTACATTAGATATGTTGGCTGCGGCAGCATTACAAGCCGAAGTCGGTCGTGATTCTTCATCTCCACCACAATCATCGCATCAAACAAATTCTACTAATAATGATGGCAGTAATAGTTATAGTTATAGCAATAGTAACCATAATAGTAATCATCATCATCATCATCATCATAATAATAAGAATATTCATAATAATAATAATAATAATAATGATAATAGTAGTAATAGTAGTAATAGTAGTAGTAGTAGTAGTAGTAGTAGTAGTAGTAGTAGTAGTAGTAATAATAATAATAATAATAATAGTAACAACAACAACAACAG